CGTGGGCCTTTTGAGTCAGTCGAGTCTACTCGTTTGACTGAATTTACCTTCCCTGGTCAAGTCCGGTTACCCTTTTGAGCGAGCGATCCAATGAAGATTGAATTGAATTCTACGACAAGGAAAATGAAAAAGAAAAAAAAAAGGATAACTTGTCGTGTTCGGAAAGCCGGTTGTGGTATCCTAGAGTTGGACAAGCTGCAGTTTTTATTCTGTCTTTATGTTGTAGATAGCTTTACCATAGCCAATTTGTTCTTCCGGCTAGCAAAGGAGGCATTTTGCTGAGCTTTGAAAATGGCGTTGTTCTGATTAATTAGCTAACTTAACTAAAAAGATTAACAGCTAAGTCCCAGCTTAAAACTTTGGTTTTTTCTCTGGCAATGCAGGATCTCAGGAAGCTCGAAATGTCGAGGAAGACATCATCGATATTTGTTCTAACCACAAAGACTGTCATGCACGGCCTTCTCAATTCAAGTTGACCAAAGGTTTTTCTGCCAAGGAACATGTGAAGGGCCGCATGGTGAGTTCTTTCTTTCACAATGCAACGAACAAAACGGATTGAAAAGATGGATTGCCGTTGTTTCTCGTTACAAAATCTGTTAGCAAATGTCGTATGGACATCGCATCTCGAGTGATATTATTTACTGTGATGCAGGTGAATGTTGTGAAAGGATTGAAGTTGTATGAGGATGTGTTCACCGAATCAGAGCTGGCTAAGCTTAGTGAATTCATGACTGAACTTCGATCCGCCGGACAGAATGGGGAACTGTCAGGTGCCATCCCACTTTAAAGCCGAAATTGAGCCTGTTTTAGAATATTAAGATGAAGATTTGAAATAGTTTTCCCTTTTGTTGTAGCTTTGTTTGAACAGGTACGTATTGTCAATTTATGTTTCTTGTTTTGAGCACATGAATCGACCGTCGGGATTACGATACATGTTTATACATAGGTTTCAAAAAGTTCTTTTAATTGGTAGATACAAATGAAATGGTGCCATTCATTTTTCTTGTTTGATGTTTTATATGAATTCTTCTAGTTCTGCAATTTTTTGGCCATGTCTTTGTTTAATGGACTTCTTACTGACTTTTTTTCTTTTTTGGATTACCAAGGTGAGACTTTTATTTTGTTCAACAAACAAATCCAGGGAAATAAGCGAGAGATGATTCAGTTCGGTGTTCCTATTTTCGGACACGTTAAAGACGAGCTGACAAGTGATAATCGAGCAAGTAAGATCCACCACTTTGAATCCATGGTGATGTTAGGCTTCTCTGTTTCTTAATATTTTCTTGATTCCTTACAAATTCTTTAAACATTTTACAGTAGATATAGAACCGATTCCGACACTGCTCGAACGTGTCATAGAACACTTGATCCAATGGCAACTTATACCTGAATATAAGAAACCAAATGGCTGCATCGTTAACTTCTTCGATGAGGTATACCTTTTTGCTGCACTGTCGGATTCTTCCCGGTTATTTGTTTGAGTACAATATTAAGTGTTATGTTTCTTTAATGCAGGGTGAATATTCTCAACCCTTTCTTAAGCCACCACATTTGGAACAACCTATCTCCACTCTTCTCCTATCTGAATCGACAATGGCTTTCGGGCTAACTCTCGTGGGTGACGGTGAAGGGAACTATAGAGGGCGACTCCAACTTTCATTGAAAGAAGGGTATGTTCACAGTTAACTGCTTTTATTGATAGCATGAAAGGGATGCTTTGGGTGATGGGTACATTGTCTAAGTTTGGTTTGTTTATTGTGCCTTGCATCATACGTCGGAAAACCTAACGTTAAATGGGTGCGGCTTCTCATTTATATATGTTATTCTCCGGCACTGCTATCGTGTTTCGGTTGAGAAAAACTCTATAATAATCATATACTTATCTTCACAGTTGGTTAATGTATGAAGGTGAAAGCTAACAATCTTCTTAGCGCATCTGCATGCTCGAAACTTGTTTTAAAAGACGATGGAATTTGTGATCCAATGTATACTGTATTTTACTACTATTATGCAGGTCTCTTTTAGTTATGAGGGGAAATAGTTCCGACACGGCAAGACATGTAACGTGCCCATCTCTGAACAAGAGGGTCAGCATTACATTGTTCCGAGTTCGGCTTGATACCAACCAAGGTCAGTCACCACCAACTAGTCAATCTTGTGCCATGACTTGGCAACCAGCTGCCCCTGGTCCATATGCGATGTCAAATGGAGCTCTTAACGGCTACGAGGCATTCGATATGATGCCAAAATGGGAAGTCCTTCATGCTCCTGTTGTCATGCTAGCGCCTGTACGTCCAGCGGTGATGAGCCCCAGAAAACTTCCTCGTGGTGGCACTGGGGTCTTCCTGCCATGGACCGTGGGATCAAAAAAACACATCAAACACCTCCCACCACGAGCCCAAAAAGGAAGAATGCCCGCATTACCTTCTCCAGTTGAAACACATGTAGCGGAGTCTACTTCCGAACCAGGAATCAAAGTCGAAGGGACATCGGTATAAGTTAAAGCTCGAGACATTGTTCGATGCAACGCTTCTTGCTCCGAAAGAGCATTTACTTAATGTAAAAAGCGGCTCAAGTGCTGTAATGTTTGTTTTTCCCTTATTTTTCACTCTTTTCTTTTTTTTTCCTCAGAAACTATAGGTTCTAGCCATTATCACAGCACTTGTTGAATAACATGGTAGGGCTTTAGAGGCAGTTGAGCTTTTAAGTTCCAGTGTGAGCAAATACATACGGCCAACGGGATTTTGTATCAAGTTATTTATATTAATCTTCTTTTACAGAGCAAAAGCAAAATGTTTCATTTCTAGTGAACATTGCTTCTTCAGTTTCTATCTATGGGCAATAAACACCAACATTTTTCATCAAGCCTTAACCGGTTCGTCATCATCTTCGAAAACCCAGCCCAAAGTCCTCTTCTTCGATATCCCTTCAAATGCAACATTTTAACAGTTTTCCTTAACCGCCAATCATGTCATCATGTTATTCTCGAGGTAACATTCCAGTAATATAATTGGAGCAATTGAAAATTTAATGGTATAAAAGATACAATAAGTAAAGTTCAGTGGTATCTATAGAGTTCATCCAAAAAAATAAATGACCAAATTACATTACTTTGTTAAAAGTTAAAGAATTAATAAAGATAACTCATGCCATGAAAAGATCCTTAATATCCATGGAAAAGAAAAGGACAATTAAAGTCTCAATCACCCCGTCGGTTGCATAATCCATACCAATTCACCATTGGTTCCATTTTCTTCAAGCAAAGTAGAATTCCCCTAACTTGGCTTTTTCTCCCCTTACTGTTCTTGCTTTAATAAAACTAAATCATTTGTGGGATTTTTTTTTTTAAAAAAAAGAACATGCTACCCCAAATCCCAAGAATAGAATCATTCAGATAGGGTTAAAGACCAAGACATCATCTTGTTCAAATCACTTCATTCTTCAGTTTTATGTCTTTCCAAGCCATGCAGGACAAAGAAAACGATTCTCAGAGTGTCGGCATTTGCCATAGAATCTTCAATTTCATCGTCAACAGTTTCGTTGGCATAGGCCTCAAACGCGTCACCTTGGGGCACCCTATGCCCCAGGGCTCAACGAGTAGTGATGGTGGTGTCCAACAACCCCTCATAAGCCAAGCCGAACTCGATGGAGATGAAAGGGAGAACTCGAAACCAAAGGATGTCTCGGATTCCATTGTTCGGATCAACTTCAAGCAAACCGAGGAAGAGCCGGACTATTGGAATTGGACTCATGTTGACAACTCTGACTCGTCGTCTTTCCATGTAGCAGAGAAAGATGACAACAAAGACGACATGCCTCAACTCCATGCGAAAACAGGCCAACGTACCGTTATACCTATAACAGATAGTTCGAAATCGGGAAAACCGGTGCTTACAGGTCTGGGGTTGAACATTAATGAAATTTCTGAAACATTCATTCAAAATACCAAGGAAAGACTGAGCAGAAACGTGAGCTTGATGGAGCCTGAAGAATCTTAGCACATAAGGTCTCTGGTTTTTTATTGATTTCAACTTACTGAAATTTGTAATACACTTGATTTTCACTACCACTGATGGTCAACAAATGATTAGAAATAGAGTTGGTTTTACGAACTTACTATGCATCATAATACATGTAATGCATCTATTCTGCTAGAGATTGAAATACATTGAGACTAAATATTTGCTTCAATTGCTTATATGAAGAAATAATAGTTTTCATTATATCGAAATTGATAATTTAGAGTCTTGATTAATATATGTTATACATGTAGCTGATTTTAACAGGGGAAATGGTAACAATATAAAAATAGGGAAATTATAATTAAGAAAAAATATTTAAGGAAATATGGTGATTGCTATAATAGTCCTAAAATCACCTACAGATGTAAACGATTTGTTTCATTTTTTTTTACAGTTTTGGAATTAAAGTTAATTTTTTTTAGAAAGTTTGAATTGAAAAAATAATGTCTGTCCTTGTAGAAGAATACCAAAAATTAAAAAAATACAATTTCATCACAAAAATCAAATTGAAAAAGAAATTAAAATTACAAAGATCAAAATATTTTCCTTTTTAAGAATTCACCACAACAATCCTTATAATTACATGTATCATATTTTTATAAAAGAATCAAATTTTTAAATTTTATAGTTTAAAAAATAATGAAATCAAAATTTTAAAATTATCAATAAAAAATAAAAACTAATTTTTTAGGACGAAAACAATGACAAAAAGTAATTTAATGGCCAGAAGTTATTTTATCCCAAAAAGTTTTACAACGTAGAAGAAAGCAAATATACTCGTATAGTTTTAATTGTAATGGGGGGGGGGGGGGGAATCTAGGAGTAGCACTTACCTTCCAGGTTCGCAACCCAGGGACTTCCTTAGGCTGCAGATACTCTGTTTCACCCTTCTCCAGCCACCGGCAACGTTTGTCTCTGTCGAAAATTCTGAGTGGATTACTCTTCCTTTACTATCAATATTTGCTTTACCGTTCCTCAATTCTTCGGATAATGGAGTAAGTTCTTATCTGAAAGTGAAAGCTAATAGATATTTCAGGAAGAGGATTAAGGAACTGAGAAATGTTGATGGTTATCTAATTTTCAGAATCTTTGATTTAAGAAAGATATATTCTTTAGCTTCTGTTTCTTCTTGGGTCTACTTTGTTTTTTTTTCTTGGTATTGGAGTCTGGGTACTGAAATTAGCCTAATTGCCATTTTAGCGTCTTGGGTTTCAGCCTATCTTAGCTCTGGAAGTATAGATTATGTTTAATTTTTCTAGTAAAAATTGCAATCATTTTAGAGTTATTACTATAAAAGGTCATTTTCAGAAAGATTGCTTCTTACAAATTTTAATTTCTTTGGTCTGTGGTTTTTGTAGAGTATTTCATACCGGTGTGAATTGTGAGATTATGAAGATCAGAAGCTGTTCTGGAATTACAAAACCAGGTCTTTTGCTTGTACACTCCGAGTTACCTGCTCTCACCTTCCATAAACCCAAGTTAACATGGACATCGACTCTTAAAATCCCTGGTAACTGTGAGAGGACCTCTGGATCGGTTACAAGGTTCCGTTGCAGTGTTGCTGGTAGAACCTTTTCTTCTATACCTGTGAGTTCATCTTCTTCGAAGCCATATACTGTTCATCTGAATCGGAAGCAAGTCCATCCCTCATCCTTGTATAGTCGTCCTAGTTTGTCTAACATGAAGAAAGAGAGGATAGCAAATCGTGCTAAGGTTTATGAGTTTTTGAGGGTACTTGGTATTATTCCTGATGAGCTAGATGGGCTAGAACTTCCTGTGACGGTTGAGGTTATACAAGAACGTATAGATTCTCTTCATAAATTGGGGCTTACTATTGAGGACATCAACAATTATCCGCTGGTTCTCGGTTGTAGTGTGAAAAAGAACATGATTCCGGTGCTTGATTATTTGGGGAAATTGGGTATTAGAAAATCCACTTTCACAGAGTTTTTGAGAAGATATCCACAAGTTCTCCATGCAAGTGTTGTGGTTGACCTTGCCCCGGTAGTCAAGTATCTTCAAGGGATGGATATCAAGCCTAATGATATACCTCGGGTGCTTGAGAGATATCCAGAAGTCTTGGGATTTAAGCTTGAGGGGACAATGAGCACATCAATGGCTTATTTAGTTGGCATTGGAGTGTCTAGAAGGGAAGTTGGAGGGGTCTTAACCAGATACCCTGATATTCTTGGGATGCGAGTTGGCCGCGTGATCAAGCCATTTGTGGATTATCTTGAAGGTTTGTGTATTCCAAGGTTAGCTATAGCTAGATTGATAGAGAAGGGACCTCACATCCTTGGGTTTGGATTAGAGGAGAGGGTCAAACCAAATGTTGCATCCCTTCTAGAGTTCAATGTTAGAAAAGAATCACTTCCATCTATAATAGCACAATATTCTGAAATCATTGGAATTGATCTTCTGCCAAAGCTTCTTGGTCAAAGGAGTTTGATTCAATCAATCATTGATTTGAAACCTGAGGATTTTGGGACTGTTGTGGAGAAAATGCCTCAGATTGTGAGCCTTAGTAAGACTTCTATGGTGAAACATGCAGATTTCCTAAAGGCTTGTGGATTTTCCTTGCAACAAGTGAGGTCCATGGTTGTAGAATGTCCCCAGATCCTTGCTTTGAATCTTGACATCATGAAACTCAGCGTCGATTAATTCCAAATGGAGATGCAGAGCCCACTTTATGATTTGGCTGCCTTCCCACCATTCTTTACTTATGGTCTTGAATCCACTATAAAGCCTAGAGACAAGATTGTAAGAAAGAAAGGTTTTAAATGTTCTCTCTCGTGGCTTCTTAACTGCTCTAATGAGAAATTTATGGAACGGTTGAACTACGACACAATTGAGGTGGAGGAAATGGAAACAATGCCTTCATTTGACACGAATTCACTGATGGAACCAAGGAGCAATGAGTCTGATTCTGACTATGAGGATAGTGATGACGAGTACGTATAAAACCATTAGAAATTCTTGGCTTTTCTCAAATCATATAATATTTTTGCGGGGAGCACGATGTGAACTTTGAAAGTTCAAAGTAAACTCTGTTTAGTCGAAACACGATGATGAAATATCTTTAAAGTTTTTAAATGAACATCACAGACTGGCTGAATCAAGTTACCTCATATTTATGTAGGTTTCTGTAAGTTTCAGTATTTGTTGTATTAGGAGAATGTGACAAATTCCATTTCATTTATGTAATGCATAAACATACAATCAGAATTCTGCCTGTATATGAGCATTGTTTCCGATTTGCCCTAATTAGTCATTGTTGCTGGATCTCTTGAACCCTTTACAGCAAATGGTATCTCTACCTGTCGTCTGTATTATGATGTGGTTGCATTTTCTCCTTCCTCATCTATCTTTTGAAGTGTTCTATATCTTTTGAATGTTAAGTTTATAATAGCTGTATCTATATCATTTACCACTGACAAGAATCCACCGGCATTTTTTTATCCATATCCGACTGGAGACTGATGCTCCCCGCTGCTATGCACAACCGGGCATCAGAGTTCGACATCAGACTTTAATGTGCGAAGTATACACCACAGTTTCAATGCATGATGTTTAATAATCTCCTTTTGTTCTTTTCCAATTGTGATTTTGACCAAATTAGGAAAACAGGGTGCTTGTTTAGAGTCCAGCTTCTGCTGTTAAACACGAAACACCTTGCAAGTTGTAGCAACTGGCTCAAATTTCATTGAAACCGTTTGTAGCAAATTACATTCATTTCATCCTTTTCATCCTATGCTTTTCATGACTACTTGAAAACAAATGCTTGTTAATTCATTTCATTGAAACCGTTTGTAGCAAATTACAACGATCAAGTTGTAGATCCGCCGGGACACATCATGCTAACTATAGGGAATTCATCAATTTGCATGTAAGAAAAAAGGGTCTGAAGAGATTCAGAAATTTCAATCGTTAGATTCCTGACAAGGACTTTTGAGTGTACACATATATCTTGAGAAACAACTTACAAGCTTGAAATTCATATGAAATAAGAGAAATAGCACCGAGAGCAGATTCCAAGAGTATACATTAACTGATACGAATTTGTAAGTACATTTTCAGGAGGAGTCCAATTCTTTCTCAGGTCAAACGACCACACTCTGCCTCTTTAATATGTATAATCTGCATGTATCTCGGATCCATCATGAGCTTTAAAACTGGGAATCAATCAAGTATGATAGCACCATTGAACCAAGTGAAGGCCGGTGCACAAAATTCCTACTCTGTTTTATGTAGCCATCCAAGCTGTAGCAAGCACATACATATTCAATAAGCGAAATGATCACATAAAGAAGTAATAGTGATGAAATGAGATGATGAAAGGGTATAAATAAAATTACCTTCCATGCATACATGGCAAAGAAGGCTACAGTGTCTGCAGACCAGACAACTGCAAAAGACTTCCAAAAGAAAGGGATTATAACATTGATCAGGGGGATGATGAGAAACAGATAATTAAGAGCTTCCTTTTCGTTCTTCGAACAGTCCCGAGCTCGAAGCGAAGGAATAGCTGCAAAGAAACAGGCATTAGCATGTTTATTATGTTGTTTGTAGAACAAGGTGAAACACAGATAAGGCAGTGAACTCACTGAACATCCAAATGGACCACATCCCCATCAATCTCCAAATATCAGGCTCATTAGATGGAAATATGAGATTGAAAGACAAAGCTCCACCCAACAGCAACGACACATAGCCTTGAACTTCGAAAACAGTGTACAGGGCAGTTCCCGGAACAGCAGGGTTTTTAGTAGCTGTTGAAGCCCTCGGTGCAAAGGTTGCAGCAGTCTTTTGAACCACCTGTTGTCAATCATATCACAAGGAAACATCCTCAAAATCACCCAATCCTCTATGTAAAAGATGGAAGCAACTAAAAGAAGAAGAAAATCGCACCTTTTTGAGGTCCTCGACCGTTCCAGTCTGAGCATCGACTTCGTTTGTTGCATTTGCATGGATTTGTAAGGCTTTCCTAAAGCTGAGAAACTTGGGGTTATTGTTCTTGATGTATTTGAGATGGGACGATGTTGGTAAAGGGAAGTTTGAAACGCCATAGTTGCAGAGAGGCGTTGTTGACATCAACGAGTACATGTTGAATGTTCAACACCCTCTCAAACAATTGTTACTGAAATCCAGAAATTGTTGGGACTGATGGAGGGAAAGAGATAAGGAACACGAGGCTAATCTTTGCAGTTAATACCGGTTCTGTTGTACTCAAACCCGGACTGACCCGACTTCCTTTCACCTATGAATGTTCAACACCCTCTCAAACAATTGTTACTGAAATCCAGAAATTGTTGGGACTGATGGAGGGAAAGAGATAAGGAACACGAGGCTAATCTTTGCAGTTAATACCGGTTCTGTTGTACTCAAACCCGGACTGACCCGACTTCCTTTCACCTAAAACCCACAGCAATATCTTATGGCCGTAATAGCCTCATACATCATGATGCAATTCCTCAATCTTTTTTTATTAGTAAAAATATGGTCGATTGGTTTTAAAATCATATCAAGTGGTTTAAATGTTAGGGTTAATCACATTAAATTCATTTAATTTAATTTCAATATTATCATTAAATTAAAATCGCTACAATCGTAATATTACACTTTCATATCTACTCAATGTAAAATTTAAATCGTTAAAATTCAGACATTATAATAATATGAACATATTTTTCGTTATTAAATTCTGATTCATTGACATGTAGGAATCACCCATCATCTAGCACTATTTACACTATCATTAAATCTAGACCACTATATTAAAGTCAGTGATTAATCTAAAAATATTTTAAATGTGTATATATATATAATATAGTAATTATATAAAATTTTTATTTAGAATAAATACAAATAAAATTTCAGATGAATTACAATAAAATAAATTTTCAATTAAAAAAATTTGAATGAATTTTAATAAAATTTCATATGAACAGAATCAAAAAAAATAAATTACCAATTAAAAAAAAAATTAGAATTTAAAATAGAGGTATATCCACTCTAACATAACATAGATGTGCATTCGCCACTAACTACAATCTTTATTGGTGCTTAAAATGAATTACAACCCTTTATCATCAACCAAACAACACCACATCACCTACCATCACTCAAATCTCATCTAATTCAATCTCACAATTTGAAGTTTTCATCTCTTGTATTATACAACTATACGACTGAGTTTATATTAGAAGTAAACTTAATAATATTTTTTTTTAAAAAAAAGACACTTATAGAAACAATAACATCTTATTAATAAAAAAATTAAAATTTTAAAGTTACAACTATTCCCCTGAATCCATCATGATAATCAATATAGTCTATCAGCAGTGTCGGTCTACATCACCATCGTCCAACTCCCAAACCTCGAGTCAAAACAATCACCATTTATCCGTAACCACCACCGTGCACTCATACCACCTTCAACCATAACCCAAACCAAACCTTTAACCTAAACCACTGGAGAGTCTGTCAGACAACTGCGTGACCGCCTTCTTGTTCATGGATTCACAAAGATGAGGCTACGATCCTTTAAGACCATAAAAATAATTATCAGAAAGGGAAAAAAGTTGTAGTCTGTCAGACAACTGCGTGGCCACCCCAGCAAGACAAGCCAAGCTGAGAACGATCCGGCTAAGGTAAACCCAGACAAATAATCACCATGGTATTAAATTGCAACCGCATCATAATGGTTTTGAAGGTCGCGACACAATATTAACGTAACGTAACCACCCGCGACAGTCGCAACATAACGTCCTCAACTACTATTTTATAGTATGATAATCACGCTCTGATCACACAGCCTCAGTTCATCAATCAGACTTAGAATCCTGTCTCCTTAGAACTCAAGGATACAGAGGCACGAGCCTATAGAACAGATCCTGTTCAAGTAAGGTCGTAACCTTCGTGTGCCTGATCCTAACTTAAATACCGTTTAGCTTTGTCTTTCCCTCGCGATGTGGGGTGTTGTACAGGTTATGACAAACCAGTCGGTGTTTTAACCTGCACGTGTCTTCCATAATCTCTGGGTGCCCAACGATTGTGTATAATGTTTTAGCCTTCAATTTGACTTACAAAAGAAATGATTTTCTCTATTAAGATAACAAAAGAGTATATTTGGGGCAAAATATTCTTCAATCAACTCATTGGAAGACAGTCAATGATGATGGCAATTCTCTGTGTTGTTATATTATGGTTAGGTGATTGGACCCTCGTATATGTTTACTCAACGACAGCCACTGTTCCATCAAGTTAATAATCAAACACCTTATTTGTTTTTGGTTACTCTATAGTCAAGAGAGAGAAAATCCGGGAGCCAAAAAAATTTCATTTTTTTTCTACTTTGCATGGTGGTTTTTATATGGCTTAATATCTAAATACGTGCCTAAATTATATCATTTTTTGAATAGGTGCTTATAGTATTTTTTGACTCATATATGTGTCTAACGTTAAAAACGTGACCACTTTAGGTGTTCGGACCGTAACTGTCGTTAGTTTTCTCCGTTCAGTGACACATGTCACAATCTCATCATTTTTAAATTGTTTTAGAAACATATTAAAATATTATTATATTTATAAAAAACCTTAATTTCTTTTAAATTATAAAAACGCCTCAAAATCCCCAAATCCTAAAACTAATATGTCACCGCCGCCGCTGCCCTTTTCGACCATGACCACCACCGTCGACGTAGTCCCTACCATCATCCTAGTTACACGCCATCATAGTTGTCGCCAATTGACCGTCGAAATCGTGTGAGATCGTGATTTTCATCCTAGGCTTTGTGTGGTATAAAATGTGGATTCATCGTCGGTCAATCGTGATTTCATAGGGGTTTTGGTCGCCGAGGGGAGGTGAGGTCTGGTGGATATTCGTTGACGGCAAAGGACTACAGTCGACGTGGTTTAGGGATTGAAATGAATGTTTTTAAAGTTTTGGGGTTATTTTGAAATTTATGTGTTTTCTCTTTATATATATATAATTTTATTTTTAAAATTATATATTTTTAAATTATCATATTGTGACACAATGCGATTGACGGCCCGGACACCTAAAGTGATAACGTTTGTAACGTTAGGTATCTGGATGGGCCAAAAAATACTGTAGGCACCAATTTAGAAAAAATGTATAATTTTTGCACTTAATTGAGTATTAAGCCTTTTTTTTATATTGATATTTAATGTTAGTGTTAGACTTAGGATGATGATGATGATTATTTATTAACATGTTAAATAGATTTGATTGTCAGTGAATTATATGTTAGATGTGTCAGTCAATGATCACATCAAGATGTTGTAAATGTTTGGAGGATACGAACCTCTCAAGACTTTGAGAAATTCCGAAGGTCTACAAGCTTGGGAAGAGTATTAAGACATGGATTTTGGAGAAGATACGGTGAGGTACAACACTTATTCTCCCGTAATCGAGATAATGATATATATTTAGGTATTATTTTGAAAGAAAAACAATTAAGGAACTAAAACATAAATAGAAGTAATAAGGTACCAAATAAATTATTTACCATAATATTTGTATGTAAAATTCTCAAAATCATAAAATAACAACGACAAAAAATCTCATCATAATGATCTATTTAATTCTCAGATTTCACTTGCATTGAATTAATGATTCCAGCAAGTGATGAAAACAGAAAGGTACGGGGAGTGTTTTGTAAAAATAAGAAAGGAACATATGATCCCAAATGTCAATTGTGGTATCACATTCGTACATGTTCTTTCTTGCTATGTGCTCGACTTAAGAATCAACTGCTTCATTTTCATGATTCTCTATGCACTGATTTCTGCTTGAATTTGTTCCAGGGTTTTCCCCTTTGTTTCAGGAACCCACTGTGACCGCAGATAATATACCCACCGCATATATTACAGCATAAAGCATGAAGGTACCTGTGCAAGCCATGAAATCGCAGATAAAATTCAAAAGTACTGCCTAACTGCAGGGTAATTTAAAGATCAAAAGAAGAAAGCTTTGTTTCCATTTCACCAGCTAACTCCTTTAATGTTTGTTGGGAATTTCTGCAACCAAGCTCGAGTTTGAATATTAGATACGGGTCGTACTCCGACACTCATGTTCGGATATGTGTTGGACATGAGTATCGGATTACCGATAGTACTCCGATACTTCAAGAAAATGAAATAAGTAGGGTCAGAGCTACCTGCCTCAGACATGACAACCCAAGGAACTGCACCCATTCCAGATGAAAAAGAACTTATGTATATCTGATCCAAAATAAGATTTGTGTCAGACAAAGCAAACTTTGTAAATGAACAAATTGAATGGATATTGTAGATGCTCGTTTTGTCCGAACTTATAATAAATCGTTTGCAACCCGTACCCAAACCATTTGGAAGCCCAAATCAATCCAAAAACAACAGTATTATCATTCCAGCTGCTAGTCCACGTGGAGCCCTGTAAAACAAAGACAGTTATAAGGGGTTAATAAGTGTTATCAGGGGGACGATTCAAATGACAGTTTTGGGAAGGGAAAACTGAGAAGGGGGACAATAAGAACATAAAAAGAAATCAGTTTACAGGGAGATAGGCATCTATCGTCGAGAGGGAGGAACCAGAGAGACTATTTTTTTTGAAAATCAAGGAAAGCACAAAAAAACCGGCTCCATTCGTCTCTTTTGTTTTGACACAATAGAGCAACAAAAAAGAACAGTACGTTCGAAAGAAAAAATGATAAAAACAGTGAAGTTCTTTCTCCTGCATTTGAATCAAGTATTGTAAAAACAGGGGCTTCTTTCCCCATTTTCGTAAGGAAGCAATTGTAATAGAGGGGAACGGAATAGAAACAATGGTAGAGCATTGAACCTTATGATTGTACAGAAACAGAGGATACAAGGCTTTCTTCATTTTTCCAGAAATACAGGTAATATAACATAATAATATTTGAAGGTTTTATCTTCATTTCTGTATATTTTTTCTAGTAGCCATAATTGCATTGCGAAAAGAAAATGAAGAAAGCAGGATAAGAGTCATCTTACCTTAGTTATTTGAGTCTATCGCCGGAGTAGATGTTGGGGTTCAACCTCCTCGTCGACCTTAAAATTTAGGGATCGTTTACATGTGGTGTAAGTGGAAAAGTAAAAAAACTGTAGGAAAAGTGAGATATTTTACCTCACCGTTGATTCCTTGTCGTAGGTTGCCGGTGAAGTGTGAGTCAAAGTGTCTAGAGGTAAGCGATGG